TCCGACATCAGGTACGTCTCGGACGGGGTCGAATGCTCGCCGCCGCCCTCCCCGGCCCCTCTGCACCCGGAGCCCAAGTCGGTGCCCGGCTCCTACAAGGATCCTTACGGAGGATCGGGCGGGAGCTACAATTCGCGGAAGGAAGCCGAAGCCATGCTGCCCGGGGACCCCTTCGGGTCGCTGGAGCACCGTGCTGCCACCGGGCAGACGTACAGCGAGCGGGTGGAGGCCTACAACCAGCGGTACGCCTACATGAAGTCCTGGGCCGGCCTGCTCAGGATCCTCTGCGTGGCGGAGCTGCTGCTGGGCGCCGCCGTCTTCGCCTGCGTCACGGCTTACGTGCACAAGGATAACGAGTGGTACAACATGTTCGGGTACTCGCAGCCCTACGGCTATGGGGCTGGCAGCGCCTACGGGGGCTACTCCTACAGCGGACCCAAAACGCCTTTCATCTTGGTGGTGGCGGGAATGGCATGGATAGTCACGATAGTGCTGCTGGTGCTGGGCATGTCGATGTACTACCGGACTATCCTCCTCGATTCCAACTGGTGGCCTCTGACCGAGTTCGGAATTAACGTGGCCTTGTTCTTTCTGTACATGTCGGCTGCCATAGTGTACGTAAATGATACCAACCGAGGTGGGCTGTGCTATTACCAGTTGTTTAAGACGCCGATAAATGCATCTTTTTGCCGTGTAGAGGGAGGCCAGACAGCAGCAATCATCTTCTTGTTTGTCACGGTGGTCATCTATCTAATTAGCGCGGTGGTTTCTCTAAAGTTATGGAGGCATGAAGGAGCTAGGAGGCACCGGGAATTGATGGAGCGAGAGGTAAGTCATTAGTTATCATTTTGTATCTACTGGGTATGGAGTGATGGGCAGCAGTTGTAAGATCTTTCCATGCCATAGATGGGGTTGTGTCAGGTGTCTTCTCTGCAGCAGGTCTATAGCCTTTGAGGGCGAACTTTCACCAGCCTTAATAGTATTTGAGGTCACTAAATGAAAGGCTTTTTTTAAGACATCTGATCCAAATTCTTGGACTTTTTTTTTTTTTTTAAATTCATTTTGGTAAGGCTCTGTTCTCTTTGTAATACTCGGCTCTCTTCCTGCGTCAGCTAATGAACTACTTCCTGGTGTGTATTTTCCAAACAAAGGAAGAAATGAACAATGTGCTTGTTCAGCTGTTCAGTAGGGTTAGGCTTAAAGCCACCCAGCATTTATTTTGAAGGCTGTGCTTTCAGCACATCAAATGCTGGCGTGAATGACCGTAAGAACATGAAGTACTTACTTTTACTTTGCAAGCAAAACTCCAAGCTGCTTCTTTATGTCTTTTCAGTTTTCCTTACAATACGAATCAGAAAATAACAGTAACAACAGAGTTGGTGAGATTTTAATCAACTTCATCTTTTTCACATCAAGTATTTTGCATTGCTGCTGACCTTGCCCTTACTAGAAGCATTCAATACTCGCCTGGTTAATGATAAACTGTAATAGTAGAAAGTTACCACTGTCAACTATAGAATTCAAAGTCATTTGTGTAAAACCTCTTTCATGTGAAAACACCACCAAAAAACCTTTAAAAAATTAATAAAACTTAATATAGCATAAAAATTAATGTATGTGAAGCCTCCATAAGCCTAACTTAAGGAGGGGTCAGCATTTAAGTGATTTTAGTATGAGAGAGCGAGTTTAAAGTTGCATTTCCACTGCTCTGTGACTGCAGTCCGATGTGCAGCATTTTCATTTAACACTGTTTTCCATTCCACCATCTTGCATAAAACTGAGACTCCCCTTTTGAAAAGTATATTGCAGCTCTTTGGTAAGAAGTGTTTCAACCGACTTTTAATATGTCCTGGAAGAATGAGGTGATCGCTGGAATTATTATACAGGTGTTCAGTCACTCTTCCCTGTTACTATCCGTGTTCTTTTATTCCAGTTACTTAATATTTCTAAAGGGAATACTTTTATAATGTAGGTTAGGCTCAGGAGAGTGCTGTGCAAAACAGCTGCTGGTTAAGCTACCGTTAGCGCGCTGTTGTGTTTTCCAGGCAATGAATTAGGCTGCAGAGTGTCAGTGAGTTAATACGGGCTGGAATGTGAAATAATAAAGGAAACTGGGAAGTGGATGGAGTATTTTCTGCAAGCTGTTCCTTACCGCTATGCTCTGGGAGATCCTTTCATTGTTCTGGGTTTTGGGTGGTTGTTTTCATTCCACCGTTCTTAACAGTCTAAATCAATTGATCTGAAAATATTCCTTACGCTAAATTTCTTCATACCCAAATATAAATGTAATTCTCTGTACAGCATCATTTCGAAAAAGTTTAGATTTTAAGAGTCTGTGCTTTTGCATACTATTTTTGCTGAAAATAAAACTTACAATTCTTTCCATTTTTTGATAGATGAAAACACAGTCCTCTTTTCCAGAAAAGAAGGTAGGAAATAGGAATTTATTTCTCTGTTTACTGGTATTTCCAAATGGTTGTCTTTTTTCTTGTGACTATTTTGATTGACCTATCTATTTATTTACTTGTTTGGCTTGGAAGAGATTAGGCTTAATTCTTTAACGTAGTCCAGACAACATTCTCCTACCTAGACGATTCGGAAGAAGCTTGTAAAGAAGTTACTACTAGTTAGGCTAGGTTATAAAATTTACTGTGAATAGCAAAACTGATGACTGCCTCTGTATGTGCTCTTACCCTCTTTTATGAAGTGACAAGTTCTGTAGCATTTATCACAGAGTTTGGCAGACATGGCTAGAACAGCAGGTCATCTGATGCGTTGTAGGTTTTAAAGACTCTCTTTCCTCCTGGCTGTCTGCTTAATTTGGAGGAGAGCCAGTGGAGGCACAGTGGTAGGTACTCGGTGAGTAGAGCTTGTTCCTGTGTCTCTGAGACTGCTCCAAAGACCTCCCTGCCGGTTTTGAAGTACCAGCAATTTTAGTGCTTCTGCCGCACAAAGATGCAGTTGCATACACTGCAAAGACTGTATAGGATCTTAACAGCAGATGTTGATGATTCCAAGAGAATTTATCATGCATTTATTTCAGTCTTAAATGTCTCCTGTTAGATACTGTGAATTTCCTACCACTGTTTCTCTGTTGCTTCAGTACTGGATCAGGATCCTTTTTGATATGTTCCAACAAGACTCCACGTGCTTTTATTTCTGGATCAAGGGATAAATTGTGCAATAGAAAACCAGGGGAAAAGGGAACTCCAGAGAACTGAGTGATTCCTGTTCATTCACAAATTAGATGGATATCCAAGGAAACTTCCTTAAATTATTTTTTTAAGACATACAAGACAAATCTTTCCAAGCCCCAAGAGGTATTTATCTGTCACTGGTACCACTGTCAGGACAAACTGAAGTGGATACTGTGTGAGAAACATTACTGTAACTCTTTACTAATTTTCTCATTACAATGAGGGTTGTAAGAAATATCTATGATTTGCTTCTACTGCTGCTCAATACTTGTATCCCTGTCTTCAAATGAGTTGGGTATTTTGTGGTTTATGTGTATTGCATTTGAAGTAAAACTGACTTCATTAAGAACTATTCTTTTTTTCTTTTAAAACAGTATGAAAGTGATGACAGACCAAGGGAAGAGGTCACTTACAGGCAGCTTAAATCAGTGGAAAGAAAACCGGAACTACTTAATGGTCATATACCTGCAGGCCACATTCCTAAACCTATAGTGATGCCAGACTACTTAGCGTAAGTGACTTGACTTTGATGAAGAAACTTAATGGAGAATACTTGGTAATGTTTTTCACTCAGCATTTCTCATATATACACTCGTGGTTTCTCTGCCATGCATATGCTATGGGAACTCATAATTCTTTGTTAAGTTAATGTTAAAAATAGAGAGGATGGGGGCTGGTATCAATGGCATAGAACCAGTAATATAAATAAAGAATCTTAAATTTAAAAAAAACAACACCCAAACCTCAAATGTTAAAGCAGAGTATTATAATCTAGCAAGTACAATAACTGCCAAAGGAACAGACCACCACCACCACACAGACAATTTAGGAAAAAATAAAATACATGGGAAATTACTTGTCATTTTAGCCCCTGAAATTTGACTACTTTTGTACTTTCAGAGTGCTAAATGTGTAACATGCTCCCTTTTAAAGGGTAGGCCTTTCCATGGTGAAGTATGAGATCGTAAATTAATTTTTATACGATTTGCCATAGACTAGGCAACAAACTGAAACACAGAAGGTTCCACCTGAATATTAGGAAAATCTTTGTCACTGTGGGGGTTAGCACAGGTTGCCCAGAGACATTATGGAGTCTCCATCCTTGGAGATATTCAAAAGCCGTCTGGACACAGTCCTGCGCAACCAGCTCTAGGTGGCCCTGCTTGAGCAGGGGGTTGGACCGGATGACCTCCGGACATCCCTTCCAACCTCAACCAGTCTGTCATTCTGTGATTTCAATCCTTTACATACACGCAAATTTCAGCAGGTTATGAGATTAGCAAACAATACAGAAATACACTATCAAGGCGAAGGGTCCATGTGTTTGTTAAGTCCTATCTCTAAAACTAGTCCTTGAAAACTTTTGTTTTCTTTTTTTTTTTTTTTTTTTAAGGAAATACCCAGCAATTCAAACAAATGAAATGCGAGACCGGTACAAAGCAGTATTCAATGATCAGTTTGCTGAGTATAAAGAACTGTCTGTGGAAGTTCATGCTGTATTAAAAAAGTTTGATGAGCTGGATGCATTGATGAGACAGCTTCCTCACCATCCTGAAAGCATATATGTAAGTACCTGTGAAATGGGTTCATGGAAACCAGGTGTGGTATTAGGCAGTTTCTGACCGTCTTTAGCTAGGGCACAATGTCTTGTAACACTGGCAGTGAGTTGGTGGGAGAGAAAGTTTCCCCAAATAAGTTATTTATTGTTTGGTCATCAGTCAAGGATACCAAGTTGCAATTAAGTTGTATGCATGTTTTTCTGGTTTGTTTTGGGTTTTTTTTCATGCCTAGTAGCTTTCAACTTTGAGTGAGTTACAGTTAATATACTTTCACTATTTCTCAAGTACAAGATTTACAACTAAAATGTTACAGCTAGAATGGATTGATCAAATGAGAATTTTACTTCTGACGAGTATTTTGTAGAATTTACATGAAGATATGGAGCACACTCACAGTGTTTAAAAATGTGTGGTCTCTCATTAGGAACAGGAAAGGATATCAAAAGTTCTGCAAGAATACAAGAAGAAGAAAAATGTGAGTGTTTTCAGCTTTACATTGCTAGTGAATCTAACGAAGAGAGTGTAAATAGCCAACATGTCTGACACTAGGTACAATTCGCTAGCTCAGGGTATCCGTAGCTACTACAGGGCTTTGTATATTTTGTCTTTTAAAACTTTGGCAAAGTTAAGACACCCGCTCCACTCTTGCCAACAACCTGCTTTGAGAATAATGATTCCATTAGCCAGATGTGGGAAAAAATAAAACCCCAACATTTAAGCATTTTCATCTTCTGAAAGTATGTCTCATCTCTGAGCGTTCTGCATTCAGAAGACTGGTTATTTTTTGGGATCCAGTTCAGTTATATTCACTGACTGACACAGCCAACAGATAAGTTAACAACAGAAAACAGTCTTACTCTTGAAAAGAAGTTTTGTGTTTTCTTTGTGGCATGAGACTTAGACTCTCAAAAAGTAATTTTCAGTGTAATCCAAGAGGTTTCACTTTGTAATTTTTAAATGTGGGCAGTAAATGTATACCTGTGTTCCATTAAAAACATAATACATTACAAATACTTTTTTTTCCATGGAATTCAAATTTTGTGTCCATGTTAGTTAAACTTCATTGCTTTTTTTGGGGGAGGGATTTATTAGACATACCACAACACACCTATAAAATCTAAATTATGTAGTAGGATTTCATTTATATTTGCAGATTTCTGTTTAAAAGCTGCTCTGTTTACTAAGTAACTACAGCACATAAAAGCAGAACCTCTTTTTCCACCCCTTCATGAAGGAAGGGGAAACAGGAAATAAGAAATTGTGGCCAGGGAAAAAGAGTGTGGTTTTGGAGAATATTTGTATACTGTCCTTAATCAAGAACATAAGTGATAATAGACTATTCTTGGAAGAGTCTGAAAGTGTAATATATTAATGTAAAGGTTTTTGTATTTTTGGCAGGATCCTGCATTTCTGGAGAAAAAGGAACGTTGTGAATACCTAAAGAATAAGCTTTCTCACATAAAACAACGGATTCAGGACTATGATAAAGTTATGAATTGGAATGTAGAAACTTAGCTATGCCTTCACTTTGTGGATACTATTTTCTATTTTTTAAATCATTATACATATTTTAAACTATTTATTTACTCTCAGAACAGTACACCTATGGGGATTGCTTAATCACTTTGTCACTTATTTAGATGTTGTACGTTACTGGTAGGTTTTATATGCAGATCCAATTTTAAATCAATGTAATGAAGTTATCAAGTAAGTTTAGAAAACCTGTGCTAACATTCTGCTTTTATTGGACAGTATACAGCCTGTCCTATTAAATATCAATATTTTATTTGAAAATACTGTATTTGTAAACTTGCAAAGCCCACCAGAGAAAGCAGTTCTCTGTCAAAAGTTTGCACAGAGATGCCATTAATAATTTCAGATTTTATTTATAGGTGACAGCTTAATGATATCAGAAAGAGTTGAGCTGTTCTTTCTGTCTGGGGTTTGTTGGAGTGCTTAATCATACTGAATAATTTTGGCAAGTCCACAATTAGTTTAATAAGACTTTTTGTATTGTATTTCCAAATGCTCTGCTGTATGTCAGAAATTATCTGGAATTTCACCCAACAAGAGATGCAAAATAACTTCCTATTTAAGCAACCATAGTGGGGGGTGGGTGTTGGGGTTTTGTTGTTTGATTTTGGGGGTTTTTTATTCCCCTCTTTAGAGGTGATGCAACAAATTTATATATGGCCTTAAAGGAATAGAGGTACAGGATGAGACTCATGTTAATGTTCCATTAGTGTTGCTATAGGCCAGTATGCTCTGCATACTTTTTCTGGCTCATCTTAGTTGGAATCCATGGGTTTAAAGGCAAAACACTTCATTCTTCATCAGCAAGTAACAGGACTTTTTGTCTAGGCAGCAGCTGTTTGTGAGCTGGCATTCAGAGAGTACGTACAGCAAAATTAATTCTCATTCGAAGTATAAATTATCACTGTCCTTTATAAGGCTAGGTAAAATGTTTTAATAGACATGCTTTCCAGAGCATATCTGCATAAATTCAATATACATTTTTATATTTTATCTTGGGGATAGGTTTGCATATGCAAATGTTTTCATAAGCCAGTAAATTTTCTTTGTATTCTTTTTCACATCTTTGTTTACTTTTTTTACTTACTAAAATTGTTAGAAGCATTGATAGTTTCTCTGTACAGTTTTCTACAACTGCAATATGTCTGTTCCAAAATATATTTTAATTTGAAAAAACACCCACCAGTGTAGCCATGTTATTCTATTGCTTATAAAGACATTTTGTTAGAAGAAGGTGTTCTGATTAAGGTTATTTTCAAATTTTTGTTAGCGCTCGTTTTTTCTTTAGAAGAAAGTTTTCAACTTTTGCCTTAATTTAAAGGCAAGACATCAGGAAAAATGTTTCCAGTTTAGAACAGTGATGGTAGTACCACCTCTGTTCTTCAGTACTGGAAATGCATTAATATACCTTGCTCTGGCAGTTTTATCCCTTCTGACTTTTGAGCCCTTATCATTTACATTGCAATCCTGATGGCTACAAACCCACTTTCATATTCATAAAGTTGACTTTCTAATTCTATCAGTGACTTAATTTCAAGAGTTTTAGTGGATGAAGAAATAACACAAGACACCATGGGAACACTGAGAGAATTTGAAAACTTGGCACCTCTTCATCTGAAAGCCTTCAGTCTCATCTACCTGCAAGGTGTCTCGCAAGGTGTCTCAATCTTTTCATCAGTCTGAAATCAGATGGCAGTCAGTGCTGTCCCTTGTTCTCCCTCCCTTTTCAGGTGCCTCTCTCTGGTTCAGGTTTCTATTCTTTTCAAAGAGGAGGAAGCTGCTCTACCTTATAAAGGAGCTGGGCCAAGTGTTTTATACCTATTGTGCTCTATACTTCTTAAAATTTTCTTTGTAAGAGACGTCCTTGTCCAAATCCCTGCAATCTAAATGACCTCTCACTGTACACCCAGGTTTCTCATTTTTTCTCAGTGGGAGTTCTGGGCATTGCGTCAGTACCAGGGGAAGGAGATTAATCCAAGTTTAAGGATCAACTGATGTTTATAAAGTGCTAAAAAGAAGCTGACTCTGATGTTTTCTTTGGCAGATTCGCAGTCTGCACCCTTAACAGCTCTTCCTCCCATATGACACTGAGACCCAGCTCCAGGCTCCCTTTGACAGTGGTCCGAGTTTCAGTCTCTGAGAAACTGGCTCCTGGCCCCTCAGTGCCTGTATAGCCTCTGCAGAAGCATCGTGCTTCTCCTTTCCTGCAAAGTTTCCAACAAATGTGTTGGGAAAGGGGGATACCATGCCTGTGGCTGGAACGAGGAAATAAACCAAGCGGAGACAGCTGTATGTGGATTGCTCCACGTTTCCCAGCAAGGTGCTACAGGTGTGGCTGAGTGGATTTTCCAAAAGCTGGGGAGAGAAGGTATGTAGGAATACTCCCTTCTGCCAGCCTTTTGGGTTTCAAATAGGATTAGTGCAGTGCATGGCAGTGGGGCGTGCTGAGCACGGAGCCCCAGGAGAAGGCATTTACCTTCCCAGCTTAGGAAGCCCCACAGGGCAACCTATTGCGACCATTACAGTAAAGTACGTGCTCAGTCCTGCATCGTTACAGACCTCAACGCTGCTAAGCAGGCACTTCCAGTACATACAATTGGTGAGTTGGTTTTGCTCTAACCTATTAATGGAGGACTGAAAAGGGTCTTGTCAACAGTGTTCTGAACATGCCAAAGAAAAAAATACTAGTCTTAAACATTTTTATCTCTCAGAGAAACTGAGATTAATGAAATAAGAATTAATGGCTGAGAGTTGAAGCCAGGTAAATGCAAGACAGAAATTAGGAGGAAATTGAGTGAGAATTAGTTACAATCAGAACTATCAGGGAAAGTGGTCTCTTGATATCCTTAAACAATAGAAGGTATACTTCAGACAAAACTAAAGTTACTAGATGATTATCACCTCTGTCTCTCTATGCAGTCCCTCTAGTCTCAACCCTGTGAATCTACATTGTTGCATATACGTGTAAACAGTCTGCTATGTGGTCTTACTCCTGAGAGTGGGTTTTTTGCAGAAGGTAGTTAACATTTATTTGAATCTTACCAAGTAATATTGCTCTACATCAATGGGCATATAGCATCCACTTTCAATTACAGCCTGTCCTCAGACACTGAGTGTATCTAACAAGAACTTTTATCCTTCAGTCTTCCTCTTAGAAAATGCCCACCTGGCTCCACAGATCTACAAAGGGAAATGTCCAAGAGACTTACAGTTTCCAGGAATATAATAGTTTTCAAACTGGACTTGAATAAATCAATAAAAGGGCTTTTTTTTTTATTGATAAACAGCTGGATATCCTTGATCAAGATAACTGTGGCAACATCTGCATACTCTACTAATCTGTACATTTTTGCAGGGCAGATAAAGCAGCGGCTAACAAATGTAACCAAAAGTTTGTATCGCATAGTAGGGTGGACTACCTTTCATGACAGCGTATCAACTAAAAATACTCGTGGCAATGAAAAACCTAATTGATTTGAAATTGTAGAAGAAGCTATCCAGTATTTAGTTTATTAATCTCAAAATTGTGGTGGAATTTGAAGCATTTGGACAATCATAATATACAAAATGATTGTATATCCTGCACTCCTGTCCAGCATTGAAATTCTTGGCCTTGAGAATAAAAAAAAATCCCTGTCTGAAAGAAGTCTCATTTCTCTCTTCTATTAAAATTGTCAACTTGCAGCAATTTTTCCATTTCAACATTTTATAAATTGGGCTTTTTCCTTCTTAAGAAAGGATGGCATGTGATCTAATGGGAGTAGATCAAACTACAACTTTATTTCAGTTCCTAGAAGCAAATCTTGACTTCTTAAACTAAAGAATTCCCCGTTGTCCATCTTCAGTAGTTTTCATTGCTTTCCTTCAAAATATCTTGGATTTTTCCCAGGTATGATTTAATTGAAAGCGAATTAATTTCTCCTGTTTCCCCTATATTTATAAATTACTCCTGATAAATGCAGCAGGCTGAAGGATACAGAGTGGTAAGTTTTTTCCCCGTCTCCTATTTAAGGAAATGTTACTATTGTTTAAATGTTTTCTTCCTCATCTATTGTCTTACTTGGATGCAGAGTGACACTCCTTAGAAACGGATGCTCAGCAACTTTCCTGTAATTCAAGAGGTCAAACCCAGTCTTGGCACACTTCCACTGTATCCAGTAAAGTTATGATTGCTCTGCACAGAAATTTGGCTAAAACTATCTCTAGCTTTATTGAGCTAATCCTCACTGCGATGCTTATGAAATGGAAACTCTTGGTGACATGAGATGGATCAGTGCTGCTTGCAATTATTTTAGGTAGAAGCAAAACATAATCATGTAACATCAAAATACCTGAAACTAATTTGTTACCTCTTCTTGCATTTTGATGTTAATCTGAACAGATCTCTACTCTTTCACGTGCAGAAAGAGTTTCACTTTTGCATAACTGCATTTTCTTTTTGCTTGTGTTGTGGGAAAGCAAACATTTGCAAGCTTTTAAAACTACATTTTTACATGTACATTTTACATAAAAACCAGTAATTTTCACTCTAACAAAATAACTAGAGACATTCATACAGTTCTAGAACCTGTACTGTAATCCTGTTTAAATAAAAAGACCTTGTAGAATTACCAGAACATGTAAAATGGCTATGATGTATTCTTTCATCCTGAAAGATTGCTTATTCCCTACTATTCCTAAAATATGTGCACTCTGTAGATGTCATTGGGTTTCTTCCTCTCTACCTATAATTGAGTAGTTAGAGTAATTTTTCTTTTCTACCACTGTGCATAGTATTCTGTTCTGGAGATACATACAAATTATATATAGGCATGTGTAAATTATATGTAAATAATTTTTTTCTTTTTCACAACAAATTTCAGATCTTGGTAGTTCTTAATGTTTCATAGTTCTGATCCTGTTTTTCTATTAGCGAGTTTGTTCTGCTAACAAATCTGTCCCTCTATTCCCTTGTACTCTTGTATTTGTGTTTTTCCCCTGCTGCCTCATTCTCACAAAGGCCAATCCATCCTATGGCAACATTTTGTCACTGTGCCTTCTTCTCAAGTACTCTGACATTAATCCATACAATTGAAAAATGCTTTTCTTGTATTTAAACAAATCATCCTCTAGGTTTAACAAGGTGAACTAGTTGCTGTTGTAAACTCCTGAATGTAGGGACCATGTTGTGCTTCATTTGGCATCAACTGGTATGATACTGCAGAATTGTTTGTCAATTTCTGGGCATAGCAAAGTAAGGGTAATAGAAGAAAGTTACTGTTACATAGTTAAACGTAGTTTTATAATCTTTACTACAGTAGTTGTGAAAGGTGTTTAGTTAACATCTATAAATATAACAGTGCATTTTCAGTGTGAGACATCCAACCTGTTTTCTGCCTGCATATGAAGATAATCACTAGTACAAGTGCTTCGGATTTCTTCTTTGGAGAGAACAATAAAAGCCCCTCCCAGACTTATGTACCAGCCAAAACCCCAGTATTTCTAGTGGGTGTTAAAACTGTGACTGGTTTTCTTCTTGATGCTTTCTCTTAGTGTCTAGTCAGAGTTGTGCGTGCAAACAAAATAGCCTGTTGCCCTATTTTGAAAAGCAAGTGAGAAGGGAAAGCTGTAGCTTCAGGAAGTTTTCATCTCTAAGAAATCCCTACATCATCTTCTCATCTAGACTTTTGCTATTTTATAGACCAAAAATAAACTTTTTCAAAGTTGCATTGGCATGTATGGTTAGAACTCATCCAGCCCAGTATCTCGACCGGGCACCGCTCTGCTACATTAATCAATATTTCAAAATCTCTCTGCTGTGATCTGTAATGCCAAGAGCTGCTGGAAGTGAACTGGAGTCCTTCATCTATCTTTCTGGCCACCTTTAAAAATAAATCATATGCTTGCAAAGGAGACAAACAGTAAATTTAAAGATATATGAAAAAATGGAATGTACACAACATTTAGTGAAAAACTAAATTTCTTTTGGTCAGAGCAATTAGCACACTCATTCAATGGAATATGAAGTATCCCAACCCATGTTTTAAATGCAATTGACAGTTAACTGTTCACAGCATTGTAGTAATAATTTATTAAAAGAAATCCTCAAAGAAAGCTATTGCAGCGAAACAAGAACCCAGCCTGAAAGAGGTGATTCTGAATACAGTGAGATTATTCTGCGTTTTTGAAAAAAACTTGTATTACTCCACTACTCAGTTTGCTCCCATGAGGACATTAAAATTACAGAAAATATACCTTAAACTTTGCAGCAATGAATGAATTCCAAGTTTGGTGGTTTAGAACAGAATTAAAGCAGTGCTTTTGCTACCGGGATAATAGGCAGCTATTTTCATTAAGTAACTGATGACTGTAATTATGCATTAAAATTCAGTGCTACAGTATCTGTAAATAATGGTCTTTTTCCAGGCTCCTGGATTCTTCTGTTAATTACTGAAATTACTTCAGTTAATTACAGAAATACCATGTAAACCCGGATAGCGCCTTAATCCTGTTAACTGGTCCCTGAGAGATGGCGAGAGCCGGTTTGACGTGACAGAAACTTACCACGGGCTCCATGCCCACACTAGTGATGTATCCACGACGCGCTTTCGCTATGCTACCATACTTTTAATAATTTCTTTGGAGTATTTTGATGTTGTTGTGAAAAATATCCTGTATTTATTTGTAGCGGCAGCAGTACTTTCCTCAGTTTGAGATGCCGAGGGTCGCCCGTTCACCGGAGACACTGAGAGGCCGGACAGCTTCGCTCCCGCCTTCCCCGAGGGTCCGTTTCCCGCTTGGCGGTGAGACTGGGCTGGGCCGGTGCGGCCTCAGAGCCTTTTGAAGCTCGGGGCAAGTTAAACCCGGCATTACCGGTGACAGCCACCGGGCCTCGTCCCGCTCCCTCCTGAGAGGGGACGCCAGGCCGCGGGCTGCCGGCGAGTACTGTCCTTCCTCCCCGGAACGATCGCTGTGCGGCCCGGGCGGCAGCCGGGAGGGGTTGCCGGCGCACCGAGGCGGAAGAGGGCAGGCGCCGGCGTTTCCGGGTCGGCGCGGTGGGACGGCTGGGCCTGACGGCGGGCGCGGGCAGAGCACGGGTCCGGCTCCCCTCCTGCTCTCGGTCGCCGGCGGCCCGCGTGGGGCCGGTCCCTCCTCGCAGCCCCTTCTCCCGCCGCGCGGCACCGTAACGGGGTTTCCCTGCAGGCGGGAGTTGCGCCTCCCCGGCCGGGGCGAGCGGCTTTCAGTCAGGAGCGCGGCCGCCGTTGGCCTCCGCAGCGGCAGGGCGAAGCCGCGGAGATGGATGACGAACCCGAACGGACCAAGCGCTGGGAAGGAGGCTACGAAAGAACATGGTAGGCTTTCCTTTCCCTTCCTCACCTTCTTGTTGGTGAAAGACGGGAAAAAGAATCTCCCTTCTGCTCAATAACAGTCTGTTTTGCGTAGGGAAATTCTTAAAGAAGATGAATCCGGATCGCTGAAAGCGACCATCGAGGACATTCTTTTCAAGGCAAAGAGGAAAAGGTAGTATGTGGTGCCACGAGCCTGCTAATAATACTGCTTTGGTCAGTTATAGGGACTTAATCATTCTGAAACTGGGTCCTCTAGGTTGAGTAAGCATATCAGCACGCCTGCAATATATTTTTGTGTCCTTACCCCTTCGGAGCTCCAGGTGCATGCTTCCTGCCTGCTACTTACTAACTGTGCCAGAAAAAATAGTAAAATTTACTTTTGTCTTTAACCTTAAGACTGAATGTACACAGGCTAGATACCCCAGATGTATGCTAGTTAAAGAGGTCAGGTCTTGATCTGATGAAACACGGTGCAAAGCACTGCAGTTGCAATTTGCACTGCTTAGAGAAAATCCTTCAACATTTTTTTAATATAAATACCAAGCTGGGTTTTGGTATCATGGCACCAGATTTCTGTTTCAAATTGTCAGAAAATTGCTAGATAAAATCTAGACTTGTTTTATTTCAAATTATGTTAAAATATTCAAATTTGGATAAAATTTTAAAGTTCCATTAAACCTGGTAGTAAGAAATAGGTTTTGTTTGTTTGTTTTCTGAGAGGCATGAAATCTGTAATTGAATTGTCTGGTTTTCAGTGTAAATAAGTGTGGTTTGTTTTTGCTTCATATTTGCCAGAAGTCTAGTACTGGATTTGTTCCAGACTTTTGTTTTAGGAACCATTCATTTGCATTTTACTTATATCCTTTTGTGGTTTATTAGACTCTATGAACACCATGGACAAGTTCGACTTGGAATGGTATGTTAATGTCTTAACCCTTGTCTGTCCTGAGTCCAAAACTACTTGAACAGAGGTGGTGTGCCTAATCTGAAATACACTTTTGCTGACTTAATGTGCTTGAGACCAAAGCTTGTGTTTTTCACCAGACTTTTTTTTTTTTTAAACATTCTTTGTTCATTGGCAGTGTGGGATGTGAAGCATGAATATTCAGAGGTGGAGGTTTGGCATATTCATTGTATCAGGGTGTGTTTTGCAACAGCAGTCAGATCACACACACTAGCACTGTCGATTTTTCTTCATGTGAAAAATGGGCCTAATTTAAATGAGTTGTAAATAATAACATTGCTTTATACAACGCTGAGCTCTTCAGATGAAGAGGTGAAGGTGCAAACTGTGCATGTTTTGTAGCTTATCATGAGAGGAAAAGAACAATGTGCATTTTTCAAGATAGTCTTTTTTTTTCACTTTGAAGGAATAGTGGAAAACATGCATTACTTTTTCAGTTGCTGTTGATTGCATAGCTCAGTATACTGAATTTTCCCTGTTTGAGGGAGGAAGTTGTTGCTTTTTTAAGTAAATGGAATAATGAACTTCATTTAAATATCTGTTCTGTGAGTGATTATCACTTATGGTGAAAATGCAGATGCGTCACCTTTACGTTGTTGTTGATGGATCAAGAACGATGGAGGACCAAGATTTAAAACCGAACAGACTTACTTGCACTTTGAAGGTATTTCTGTACTCAAAAGTTTTCTCTTACTAATCCACTGTTTCTCTGTAAACCAGTTCCATTTTGCATTTAAAAGAATGGCAGTCTCCTCTGACTAGGTTACATGCATGGCCTCATTTCTCCTCTCATCCCTACGTTTTTTCCCTTGTTTCTGTTGCTAGTCTGCAATTTTCCTGTTTTTTGAGTAGTATAATCTGTGTGACATTAGTTTGCCTTGCATGAGTACTTCTGTACAGTAAAAACACTTTGTAAGTATGTATTATGGAAAGACACATTGTGAAAAGTATGTGGAAATTAAGCTGAAGTGTTGCCCGTAATAAGGGATGAAAGAAGAACAAACACGCTTTCATTACACATCTAGAATTTTTTTTTTTTTCTTACAATTGCGTTTTGATGAATTCTGGTTTGAATGGATGCTAGACAGGAGTTGAATTGGATTGCTGCTTCAGGCTGTGGAGGACTTGAACTGTACATCTTGTACTATATGGTCTTCTCTAACAACACTAAGCATTGAAATCCTGGGTTCTGATGATTTCATATGGATTAGTGCTTTTTGGTGTGTGGTAAACCTCCATTTGAACCAACAGTAATCTAGAACTTTAACATATGAAGTGAATAAAATAAGGGGTGGCTAGTTTCTGAAATTTACATTGCATTGGTAACATGGAAGGAGGGAGAAGGATGGAAGGGTTAGGGTGAAAGGAAAATGGACATGAATGGCTCATTCCCCCCTTTTTTTTTCCAACTTTTTTTTTTTTTAAATGATACTGGACGTTCTGCAAGTACCACCTGCTTAATGCCTATTTAGTTTTTAACGGTCTTAACTTTTCTTTATAGTTACTGGAATATTTTGTTGACGAATACTTTGACCAAAATCCTATTAGTCAGGTATGTACAACCATGCAAGAAACAAGTAACTGAAAACTATTTTAAAAGTTAGTTTTAACACTAGCTAGTAAACTGTTTTCAATTGATGTATTCCTTCCCATCCCTTCCTCACCAGTCTCGTGAAATTCTTGTTTCTGCCGGAACTAATGAAAATAAGAACCCATCTATTCCCTTTTTCTTAAACATAAATTGTAGCACAGAAGACTTGATTATATTTTTTTTCAGGCATTTAGAATTTTGAAAGATTTCTTTTTGTACCTTGTGGCAAAAGTACTGGAAATACAGGAATGTGTGTTAACTGATGCCTAGTGTTGTGCTGCTGCTGTTACACTTACAAGAAAACTTGCATAGTTAAGTAATTCTGATCCATAAAGAAGTATTAGGCAAAATACAGCAAAAATGTAAATCAACTTCTTTTTAAACTTGCTAAGAAAAGTTTTGCCTTTTTTTTTCCTTCTCCAGATTGGCTTAATTGTAACCAAGAGTAAAAGAGCTGAAAAAATGACAGAACTTTCAGGTAGGGAGGTAGTATAATTTTTTTTAAATTGGAGATGTTTTCATCCCTTGTGTTGATGTTCTAAGTTCTACCTGGATGACACTGCTGAAAGTGAAGTAGCATTAACATAATATTTTTAATTTAAAAAATAAGTTATTGCAAGTTATCTAAAACCAGAGTCTTTGTTTTGATCTGGTTTGATCTAGAATTGCCATTGCGTGCTTGTTTGTGATCAAGTCTTATCCAGACCACAACTAAAGTATGTTTTATTTCCCCTATAGTTAATTTCTCAACCTGTTTGTTAATTTTGTATTTTATGACATCTGTGTGTTCTGTGAGATCTGATCAGATGTTAAGAAGCAAGGTTTCTTTGGTTCCTGCCTTCTGTCACTAGCAATCTGTGTGGCTTCAGACATGAAGTCTTAATTTTTTCTCTTTATTCACTTGTAAAACTGGAGCAACGTTACTGAGGAATTTGAGGATCAGTCAATCCTTGAACAGTACTTTGAGGACAACAGAGGAAACTAAACTTTGTTTCTGCTGAAACACTTTGTGAGCCACTTCACAGTCATGTTAAGCACTTAATGATATGCAATGGTGATTTTATTCTTTTTGACTTCTTGAAGTTTCTAACAGTTGAGTGCTTGTAGAGTAATAGTCTTTCTGTTAATATATTGTTTTATTGTTTTCTACATTCTGATCAACATGTCAATTTCTAAGGAGAAACATAGAGTTACAAGTCATAGTTTGAAAACTGTTGTTGTACAAGTACCCTTCATTAAATATATAGTTTGAATATTTCAATTCTTTTAACTTGTTATTTCAGGTGAATTTTTTTTTTCACTTACAGGTAACTCAAAAAAGCACATAACTGCTCTGAAGAAAGCAGTGGATATGAACTGCAGTGGAGAGCCATCTCTGTATAATTCCCTAAATTTGGCCATGCAGACTTTAAAGTTAGTATATACGTGGGGTTTTTTTGTTTTTTCTTTTTTCCATAATTAGTATAATGCTGATTGTGAATTTTTGGAGGGGCAGAGACAGTGTTTTTTACAAGTAGCATCTTCCATCGTGCTGACCTGAGTCTTTAAAAGGCAGCTTTATGTCCTCTTACAATACAAACTGTTAAGAAGTTAAATACGTTAGTAATGCAGAAGTTAATTTTTCTAACACAAGATGCTTCTATTTAGAGGTGTGCTGCTTATAAAAAGCAGCAATATTTTAAAACGAAGTAGATGATTTTATGTTGTGTGTGAATATGGTGATGAAGGACCCTGCAATTATTTTTTACTAGAGGGCTAAGATATGAGAGAGGGCAGAGTTAGGGGTTAATAATGATAAGAGAACAGGAAAAGAAACAGCATTGAATCACAGTAATCTGGTGGGAGTTTTGGCGTGCTTTAGAAAGCAAAAAAGTTTTTTTTAAATCTATCCTACCTGAAAATTTACCTATGTGAGGTATTGAGATGGGATAAACATTTGTGGAAGACTGTTTCAACAAATAATTATAGCTAGAAACACGGCCAGAACAAAGCTAGTAGTTAATGTCATAAATTGTTCGAATGACTAGTTGGAAGAGAGGTTTCCGTTAAGAACTAAAAGACAGTAGTTAAAAGTAATGGATTTACACCTATAAACTGATTAGAGATTTTTATTTTAAGAAGTCAAGAAGACTTATGCAGCGTTGCTAGTTTGAAGGTGAATTTTACCTGTGAGAATACAGATAAGGTACAGGGATAACTTAAGCATTAGAGAAAACAATCAGATAACAACAACAAAAATACCGTATTTTAGACACTGGAAAGGTTTGGCTTTTGGAAGTGAAATTCTGGTGCTCAGAGAAGGATCTTGCCAGTCTTTTATAATTTGTAGGGGACTTCATATCATGTTGTCTTCTGACTTTAGTATGTTAAAGTCCTTGGAAACTTTAGCATAAAAGTAGCTTAGTGTACAGAAGTAAATTAACTATATACTTTCTTTAGGCACATGCCAGGACATACAAGCAGAGAGGTTTTGGTAGTCTTCAGCAGTCTGACGACATGCGATCCAGCCAACATCTATGATCTAATTAAGGTACAGAAGTGAAGTTTGACTACTATGCTGAACATCCAAGCTATTAGACTAAAAACAGACAGTTGCAGTGTCATCGCCAATTAATTTTCATTTAAACCTTTGAACCTTTTTACTGTTTTCTATTCTGCATATGAATTTGAGTATGCTTTCTTTTTCCATTTGAAGTGTTTAAAAGCAGTTAAGATCAGAGTATCTGTCATCGGCCTAAGTGCTGAAGTTCGAGTTTGTACAGTACTTGCCCGAGAAACTGGTGGTATGTATCTGAAGTTCAGTAGTTATACTACTAATACACAAGTTTAAAATTGAAATTAAGTAACTAATTTGTCATCTATTCATTAATGCATTTTGATATTTAAGGATGAATATTCTGTTGTGCTGGCAGAAAACTTAAGGGTTTCCCAAATCTACAAAATACACAGTGAAATTATTATCAGCTGGTAGCTGCATCTCTAGAGAGAAGAAATACATATATTTTAAAACCTAGTGTTCCACATATAAAGCTATCTGATGTGGAACTTAATTAATGTAATATGTTAATATCAATTACTACAGTGGTAACTCTTACAATATCATTACTACAGTGTAATGTTGGAGAAAAAGCTATGAGCCTTCATATCTAATAAAATTAATAACACCAGAATGTTTAAAAACTTGTCATTTTCAGTAGCATTAACAGGACTGTTTTTCAGGAGCAGGGTTGGGTAAATTATTTTTTTTACTCAAGTTGTTTTCTGCATTTGGAGAATATGCTTGTATTCTTATCTGCTCATAATCTGAGAGTAAGGCATTTCTTTCTTTGTGACAGGAACATACCACGTTATTTTAGATGAAAGTCATTATAAGGAACTGCTGATGCATCATGTTAGTCCTCCACCTGCCAGTTCAACTTCTGAGTGCTCCCTTATTCGAATGGGTAGGATATGGTTTTGTTAAAGTCCTAGCAAAAGATTTGCAAATCTTGTCTTTCTCTTTCTTTGCATCTTCTGTGTTAAAGCCATGCAAATAGTTAGAAGCATAATAAAGACATTGAACAATTGGGGTCTTTATTTTAAACTTCTATTTTGCTAAATACATACCAATTTTCTTGCTGTTGTTCCTGCAAAGTAGTCAGCTTTTAAATAAAGTTAAGAATTAAATAAGACACATTATTCAACTGCAGTTGGAAACATTAAAGTGGAATGATATTGCTTGTACAGTAATTGGTATAAATGTAATACTTAGAATTTAAGGATGAAAAACTATTTTGTTTTTCCCTCTGTTTTTTTTCCCTGCAGAAGGCAACTATTATAAGCTTAACTGACTGTAAGAGCCATCTGTTTGGCCATGTAATACATGTTTGTTAGGAGCACTACTGTGGTGTTCTTTCAACAAATGGATTAGGTACCTTTTTTTCTCTTGATGTATTTCTCAATAAATTTAAGCCTGGAGTTAAACCAGAATAGCAACTCTTAACGCCATGAATTACAGCATTGATTTCTCACTTTCATCCACCCGTTTTCACAAATAAGAACGTATGTATTTTTATGTGTAGATTTAAATACTGAAGAGATTTACTTGTTATAGGTAAAGCCCAAATGGCAGTCAGAAAAATTAACTGCCCACTTGACATGAGCTGTAAAAAATAAGTGGTAGAAAGAATGCTATCTGTTACAGCCTCCGTAAAGTGCTATAGTCTCATACTGCACTTGGGAAGGTGAATATACGCTTGGTGTCTGCATATAAAAATGTTTTCCCCTTAATTAGAAACCACTGTTCAAGTGAACATTCATGTAGTGCTCTTTCTGCTTTCCTACCATTGCACATAATTTTCTTTTTAACTGTTCTTCAAAAATGGGGTTCCAGTGAGCTTCAATTAATATGAAGTCCATGAAAAGATTTTTTTTTCAGTTGGGGGAAATACAATGAAGGATTTGTTGGAGGATGTAGTTAGAGACCTTTAGGAAGAATTTGATACCTAATAAGAGTGTATTATTTCTCCTGTAATAACAAACAGACAAAGAAAGAGATAGGCCTTAATATTTAGAATAATCTTTGAACTTCTCCATTGAAGTAAGAAACTGAAAGATTACTGGCATGTTTAAAATTGGTAATATGGCATGTTTTTCTCTTCAGGTTTTCCTCAGCATACTATCGCTTCTCTATCTGATCAAGATGCAAAACCATCCTTTAGCATGGCGTAAGTAGAGTTGATTAGAATTCAATGAGCTGATAAGAACTGAATAATAATTAGTCATATTTAGAAAATCTGCTTGTCAGTGAAAATATTGCAAAATAACATGAAAAAATAGTAAGTAATGTCTTGTGACTTCTCAGTAGAAATTCTATTTCCATTTGCACATCCAGTATGTGGCCATAGTTCCCCCTGTTAAATATGCTTTTTAAAATTTACATTTAAATTTTTTTGAAGGTAGTAAATGGCTTTTAGTTGTGTTGTGCAGTGATTAGAACACAAGGGTGCTACAAAGTAATTACTACCAATTTTACCTGCATTTCTTGATTCAAGTAGTTTTATCACTATAAAGATAATGATGAGGGTGAAGGGTATTATCTGGAATAAAGTATTTTTTATCTATTTACTAATGTGACTTTAAAGGGAATTTTAAGATAGAGGCCTCATTTGATTAGTGTACCAGTGCTCTTATCAATGAAAGGGATCACAGTTTTCAGGGATGATAGGGGAGTCTGAATTTTCAGAAGGAAACAGTGTCTGCTGTTTGAAAGAATAAGTACCAACGTGCATCTTAAAGTCAATACAGAATATTTGTGTGTGTGTGTAAGTGGAAATACTAATGCTGTTATCTCTCATAACTTTATTTTTTAAATATATATTGGCTCATTTATGTGGGAAAATTTAGTCTTTGTTCTGTTTCTGTGGGAAAATGTGGTTACTGGTATCTCACCCTATCAATTGCTTTCTGACACTTCCATGCACATGGAACTGTTGCATGGAAGCTACTGCAACTTTTTAAACTATTTGTTGTGAGAACTATGTAGTATTTGTAGTTATGTAGTGTTATGGTGTTATCTCTTAGGTATTAAATTGTCTCTCTCTACTCTAGGCAATTGGAAAACAACAGTGAGCCAGGTCTTACACTGGGTGGATATTTCTGTCCCCAGTGCAGAGCCAAATACTGTGAACTTCCTGTGGAATGCAAAATCTGTGGTGAGTAGCCGGAAAAGGTGAGCAGATGAATTACAAGTTAGTGGTAAGAGAGTTAAGGGGTAGAAAAATTCAACTATACTTAGGAATTAAAAGCCAGCTCTGCTTTAAGAAGCCTGCATTCCTGTGTCCTGGGATGTCAGCTTCGTACGAGGGACTTTCAGGACTATACCTGTAACAGTAAAGCTGTATCATATTCCCTAGTATGATGTTATAAACTAAAAGGGCTAAAGCAAAGGGGGGAAGAAGGGTGATTCACATATGAACGGTAATAATTTCCTCAAGAATCCGGGTTTAACAGACACACCAATGTTTCAGACTCCTCAGTGCAAGGCCATGAAGATAGAGTGCTTTGGAGTAAAAGGACAGAAGTACCCCCTCACCTCCGGGAGCATGTGGATGAAAGGTTTCAAAGTTGAACCCAAGGGCAGGCTGCACAGTGACACATGAAAGGCTATAGAGTTGTAAACGGAAGCCCTTCGGTCTTGCAAATGCTAATGGACTGTGCAACCAACGGTGCCTTTCCCCCCACAGCTTAATGAGGGCGGGAGGGAGGATTAGCATTTTTTATGGTATTAATATTGTGTGAGTAACAGCTGTCCTCCTGTTAGCTTCTACAGGCATATGACTAAAACGTGATAGGTATTATCAAGATGTGTGTATTTGGCAAGAGGATGAAATAATTCTAGTTTTGGGTCACCCATCCTAGTTTCATGTCAAGGTTTTTGTATCGGCATGAGTTTCATTTCAGCAAGGTAGTAGTGTAACTGGAGAAATCCTGTGTATCAGCAACAGATTCTCCACAGCTGCATCTGTCAGCAGAACAAGAGGTTGGAAGTTTACACTGCATGTGAGTGAGTGATGAAGAATTTTGTGCCAGCCCATGCCCCAGCTAACACTAGCCTGTTACTGTTTAACCCCCGTAGTCAGCTAAGCCCCACGCAGCCTCTCACTCACTCCCCCCTGCAGTGGGATGGGGGAGAGACTCGGAAGGGTAGAAGTGAGAAAACTTGTGGGTTGAGATAAAGACAGTTTAACAGGTAAAGCAAAAGCCATGCACGCAAGCCAAGCAAAGTAAGGAATTCATTCGCTACTTCCCATCGGCAGCCATTTCCAGGAAAGCGGGGCTCCATCATGTGTAACGGTTACTTGAGAAGACAGGTGCCATAACTCCCAACGTCCTCCCCCTTCCTTCTTCTTCCTCCAGCTTTATATGCTGAGCATGTTGCCATATGGTGTGGGATATCCCTTTGGTCAGTTGGGGTCAGCTGTCCCGGCTGTGTCCCCTCCCAGCTTCTTGTGCCCCCCCAGCCTGCTCGCTGGTGGGGTGGGGTGAGAAGCAGAAAAGGCCTTGACTCTGTGTCAGCACTGCTCAGCAGTAACCAAAACGTCCCTGTATTACCAACACTGTTTCCAGCACAAATCCAAAACACAGCCCTGTATTAGCTGCTATGAAGAAAATTAACTCTATCCCAGCCAAAACCAGCAGACCTGTGTTAGCGTGGCTTCGGCAGTATTATAGCAGGCTGCAGCAGAGCTTTGTAGTTGGGCACCATTTTAACTGGTGATGTGAAACAGCAGAACCGTCGTTGCCAAAGAGGAGTTGTGCATTTAGATTTAATTGGAAGACTCTTCTATGGTTGCATTTTGTTTATGGCATGAGGATGAAAAACTTGCTAACTTTACAATTGTGCATTGTAAATGGACTTCTAAAGACTGAGTTAAACCTTTTAATTAGAAATTTGGGCAACTTGCTTGTTCTTCATATTTGGATTTAATTCTGGAAAGGATTACAGGTTTGGATTATGGAAGCTAATGAACAATTTTGTGTTTTAATTCTTAAAAGCTGTGAACCACTGAGTAATTAAAAAATCTTTTTTCCTTTTTGCCTTGTTTAATACAGAAAAGCTTTTCAGTAAGTCCTCTCTTGTAATATTTTGATGTCTCTTTATTTGCAGGTCTTACGTTAGTGTCTGCACCTCACCTGGCTCGGTCTTACCATCACTTGTTTCCTTTGGATGCCTTTCAGGAAGTTCCTCTGGAAGAATATCAGGGGGAACGGTATGCATATCATACTTGAGAGAATGAGTGTACTTGTGGACCCTGTAATTTTTTTGTCGTGGAAGTAAGAATAGCTGGCAGCAGCTTCTTTGCTGCTGGGAGACACTGTTGAATGTTGGGGCATTTCGGGGCACCTCTGGCAATAAGAAATATTTGTAGTTCCCATTAACTGTTATCCTGTGTGTTCAGTTGAACAGCTGAAATAATTGCCATAAATCGTTACTATGTATGAGATGTTTCTTAAACACCGTTTTACAGAATGTTGGCTTTTTTCAGTTAAAATACACAATTTTGCTTTTAGGTGTTGTCAAGGCTGCCAGGGAGAAATGAAAGACCAAAATGTAAGTATGTTGAACTGCATTGGAATTTGCATTGAGGGTTGTCAGAAGTAGAGATGATCCTTTAGTATAGTCTTCCAAAGACCAGAAAAATATTTGTAGAAGTTTATCTCTTGGTTAGCTAGAGTTCTTTGTTACAGAGTCACGCCTTTTAGGCTGCAAAGTCTATAGAAGTGTGGGAGGGGATTTCCTAGAGTTGCACAAATAAGCTTCCACTCTTAGCCATTTGGAAGCATCTACAGTGACTTGAGCTCAGCCCTTTAGAAACTTTAATTCAGTTGGGTTTCTGTGATGTTAGCAATATAGTCTATTTACACTGTCTTGATGACACAACTGATGCCCTACTGTAGTGCTATGATGGTGATGATTTTTTTTCTAATTTGACTTGTTTTTCTCTCTTTTCCACACAGGTTTACATATGTAAAGTGTGTCAGAATGCATTTTGCGTGGAATGCGATTTGTTTGTTCATGATTCTCTGCACTGCTGTCCTGGCTGTATTCACGAGCACCCTGCTCCCATATCTGTATGATGCCATCTCTTTTAGAAATTGTCGTATCTATGTCATTCTTGCATAAATCTATTTTGTTTATTCAACCATAGCTTTCACTGAGGCACCTCAAAACAAGAAGGACCTAGATGATTACAGAAGGATGAGCACTGGCTTGGGGGCAAACTTTTAATTTTTACCTAATGTATTAATGATTCTGTTACTGTTAATATATTCTTGAATTATCTGTATCTGATTTATTATCTTTGTTCTTGTTTGAAAAGCTCTGGCTTTGTCTGAATGTTATTGTGAGTAACATGTATATTTGTAAATGTGAAAGTGATAAAACTGGTTTGTGTGATAATGTGGTGATGCATCTTCGTTTCATTGTTTGTTCAGAAAAGAAGCCCTGAAAATACATTTTATATATCAATTGTTATAAGGTCTTGTTTTTCGTGTATGGTGGAGTTCTACAGATCACAATATTTTTTGTAAGAATTTAATGAAGATGTTTTTGAGCAGTTAGTTGGGGGACATTTCAAATATTAATTTCAAGTATTGTGGCTATTAACCTTGGCCTTCAGTAAGGCAACTCAGATACAGCTGTTATAAACATGCTGAAAACACATTTTGGGTTTTAGTGGTACAGCCCAAAACTAACTGAATTCTATTACTGTTGTGTCTGTAGTTGTGTGGTTTAAGTTTCACTTTCTTGTAGGAGTGTAAGGTTACTGAAAGGCAATGAATTTGCAAAGGTGTAAGACCTGACTTTATTGTTTGATGGTCACAGCACTGAAGACGGTAATGCTGTTGTGATTCTGAGGCTAGAATGAATTGCCAGAACTGCAAGTCATCTTCTCTCCTTGGCTAAACCCCCAGAACAAGAGACAATAAGGTGGGGGGAGAAGGGGAAGCATGTGTCCTTAGCTGAACATTGAAGAATGGAAATTGAGACAAATGCATGACACTCGCTGCCATTTTAGAGTGGCTGTTCAGAGTGTGGTTGCAATTTGAACTTGTGAGAATGTAACATGCTACACCTCAGTAAGAGGAGATTGTGATGGTGCAGTGTCTAAAGCAGTATGTCGCATCTGGTTTTCTGAAGTCGTGATGTTTGTAATACATCAGCAACTGAGTTACTCTGGATGTATCTGACTTAATTTTTAAAATTGTGAGCTTTGTTGTCAGATTAGGAACAGCAATCGTCTAACCTAACCACTGAATCTTAAAAGTGCAAACAAACAAAACCCTTAAGTTAGTTCCCTGTTTTTCACGCTCACCACATACAAACAATACATGCTACTTTTCAGTTTTCACAGGCAGTTTTCATTTAAAGCCCTTTCAATATGCAAATTCTCAATTGTTAACATAGCTCCTTCTGTGCTTTTTCTACTATTTATGCCTGCAGGCTGGCTAGAATGCAGTAATTCTACTGTGTTGGCAGAAAAATGACTGCTTTGGCATCTGTGCTTCATTTTGTGCTGAGTCAAACAACCCCTATAAACCCTTTGTGCTATCAGGTGGTTGCAGTGTCTGTTGCTGTAAGGGTGTCCTAAAAACTAACAGAAAAAGGACATATTCATGGGTTTTGGTGTGGTCTGGTAGGCAATTCCAAGCCAAAAGAATGCCCTAAGCATCTGGCTCTTAGATACTCTGATATTGGTGATGGCGTCTTGGTACGATGTTTTCTGATAATATTTTCATCTTCACAATCAGCATTTCCTAATGGAAGAAAAGGTTTTGTCAACACACTTTAAATCTGTTCTAGCTTCTTCTCTTGCTAGATACCAAAATAACATACTTAGAAGTAGAAGCTATGTAGAAGTTGTGGCCATGTACTTCATTATCTGCTTGTGGTCTGAGTAGTAACCTGGTTTGTACTTTTCCACCCTTCTCATTGGGTAGGAAGAGCAGTTCAAACTAGGTCCTGAAAAATCGCTATGACAGCAACATTTGTCTGATGCGTAAAGAATTTCAGCTGTGGCCTTTGTATTTAAAGCAGCACAGAAGAAATGCTTCTTTCATCTGTACTCTTTGACTGGGATTCACTGGATCTCAAGTCTCCTTTGCTTGTGGGAAGCTACAACCTGCTTAATTCTTGTTCTTGTATTTTCTTATTTACTGGACCTGCCACAAGATTTGTCAATCAGTGAGGTTATTAGCAGGCCTGTGAGAAATTCCTATACTTCCTGAAGATGTTGTGTAATACGGTTTTGACATAAAGTGTTGAGGGACGAGACAAAAAGACACAAACATCCTGTGGTGGGGTTGAGGACACAACTGTGGCAAGAAGTTTGAGGTTGAAAGGCACAGTGAGACTAGAGAGCGCACTGCCATGTGGAGTGAAGGGGATTTTGGAAAGGTGAGCGCCCTTGCTTTACTGTCCACTTTATACCTTCCTTGCAGGAATAAAAGTTACCATCTGTATCAACAGTCATAACTAATTTCCAAGACTGGAAGTGCTGAAAATATATTAATTAAAATACGGGTGTATTGGGTTTGCGTGGCAAGGTTTTTGTAGCGGGGGTGGCTACAGGGGCGGCTTCTGTGAGAAGCTGCTAGAAGCTTCCCCTATGTCCAACAGAGGCAATGCCAGCCAGCTCCAAGACGGACCCACCGCTGGCCAAGGCCGAGCCCATCAGTGACAGTGGTAGCGCCTCTGGGATAACATATTTAAGAAGGGGAAAAAAACCCAAAACAGCACAATTGCAGCCAGAGAGAGGAGTGAGAATATGCGAGAGAAACAACTCTGCAGACACCAGTGAAGAAGGAGGGGGAGAAGGTGTTCCAGGAGCAGAGATTCCCCTGCAGCCCATGGTGAAGACCATGGTGAGGCAGGCTGTCCCCCTGCAGCCCATGGAGGTCCACCGTGGAGCAGATATCAACCTGCAGCCCGTGGAGGACCCCACACCGGAGCAGGTGGATGCACCTGAAGAAGGCTGTGACCCTGTGGGAAGCCCATGCTGGAGCAGGCTCCTGTCAGGACTTGTGGACCCGTGGAGAGAGGAGCCCATGCTGGAGCAGGTTTGCTGGCAGGACTTGTGACCCTGGGGGGGACCCACTGTGGCCAAGGCCGAGCCCATCAGTGACAGTGGTAGCGCCTCTGGGATAACAAATTTAAGAA